TCTTCACAGTTGTATAAAGGTCTTCTTTAAGTTTGAATTTTTTTCTTTTCTTTTTTTCTTTTTTTTTTCTGTTTTTGCGCTCTTTAGGTTTGTGCCTTGAGTTGTAGCAGCTAGTTTGTCTTATTCTCTGCGGCTGATGAAAGGTTTGGCCTTGTTTGTAGATTTTATTTGTCAGTAAGAATTATTATCTATTATCTATCATATCTTTAAGTATTATAAAATACTATCATATTATTATTATTATTGTTATTATTATTGATTTTGTAGTTAACGGGATGTTATTCACTTCCAAGTAGGCAAGCTGATACTAGATACATATGAAGAAAACATGGACTTTCAGAGTTTGCTTTGTTAATCCTAAAAAAAATAAAAGAAAAATGGAGAGTAAATTAAACAATTGCAGCTTGGAAAGAAAAAAAAACTTCTATGTTATTTACATATGCTTATTTACCTAAGCTGAGAGCTTCTTTTACTTTAGTAAGGTGCTTTTGTACATTTTGTTTCCACAAGAAACCTTAGATTATCTTTTATTTATCTTGTACATAGTTTCTTCTAAGTTTCTGTTTTTGTTTGTTAGGAAAGGCTTAACTTTAGGCTTTTAAGAATCACCTTGGTAGAAAGACAACATGCCTTCATTAGTTTCACTTAGATTTCACATGCAAAAATAGGTATACATTGTTCTAAATAATATTGACTAAACTGCAACACTTTTGAAAATAATAAAATAATAACAATGATAAAAAATCTGATATATGAAGCCAAGGCTTTGAAAATTTGGAGTGTATCTTGTATCAGCATTGACAATTTCCCTGCCTCTTCTTGCAGATCGATGCCCTATATAGGCTTATAAACCTCAACAGGATAATGGTATTGATACGATATTCCTATCCATCTAGACATTTGCATTCTTTTCTGTACAGTCCTTGACACTCTTAACGTTTCGTAGCAGACGTTTCGGTTCACCTGTGATGGGGTTGTAGCGGCTTTTAGCATTGCACGTTCCTTGCGTTTGACCTTGCCTCTGAGGTCGGTTGCAACTTGGTGTTTAGCTAGAGTGATGTTGTATGGCTATTTTTTATTCTTTGGTTTGATTTTTATTTGCTATATATTTATATATATATGTATTTTTTTACATTCCACTCTGTGCAGTTTGTTTAGTGAATGCTTTGTATTTGAATGCCTTGTTGTTATCTGTAATAAAAAAAAGGGTAAAGGATTTGCATTTGAAGCCATGAATGTGATGATGCCTCATGTTTTTATCATCGCTGCTACAGATTGTTAACACTTCGAACTGTGCAGTAAGATACCGAAGGCTTGACAAAGAATTCCCTTTGTGTGCACGAGTGTTTGAAAAAAGTCCTTGTGTTACTTTGTTTGATGGTAGAAGGGGCTTTGGGAGAAAGAGAAATGAAGAAAAAGTCATTAAGTAGATCTTTTGAAAGTGGAAGGTCAGAAATTACTTTTATTAAAATTATGTAATTGCTTATTAGATTTTTGAAAGTAAGTGTTAAAAGATGAAATGTGGAATGCAGTTTATATGGCTATATGAATTATTGTTGATGATATGCAGCACTGAGTACTATTGAAGAAATTTTGAAAAAAAAAGAATTATATAACCTTTTTTATGTTTGCACTTTGAAAGACGATTAGCAAAGGAATGTTTTTTTTTATTGTTATTTCCTATATACATTTTTTTCCCACTCTGTGGAGATAATAAAAAATAATAAAAGTGAAATATATGGAATAAAGAACAATTTGCACAATCATAGATCGTGCTTAGCAATGATATTTGCAGATATAAAGATTTTTTATTTTGTTATCCCCCATTTTAAGGGATTCAACAATTAAGAGTGAGGATCAGAGAATGATGTATATTATATGTTGAAAAGTCTCAACATCTATTGTCCCAATTTGAGTTTCAGTTAAAGGGTAAAAAGTGGATACATTTGGCAGATTGAGAGATGTCCCATTGGATACATTTAGCAGATTGACAGATATCCCAGTGGATATGTTTTCCCACTTCCCCTTGAACTGCCTGTCATTCAACTCTATTCAGTCCCTCCCCCTTTCCTCTCTCTCTCCCCCCCTCCTCCTTCTCCTCCTCCCTTTATTTGTCGTCTATCACCATCCTTTGACTTTCCACCTTCTCTCTTTCCTTCTCCCTTTCCCTTTCTCTTCTTTTCTTCCACTCTCTTTCTCCTATCTTTTCTTTTTCCCCCCACCTTTCCTCTTCCTTTCCTCCATCTTTCCCTTCCTCATTCCTTTTCCTGCCTTAACTCCCTTTCTCTGCCTTCTTTCCCTTCTTTCCCATTGCTGTCTCTTTCTCTACCCTACCTCCCTACCCTCCTCATTTTCCCTTAAAACCCCAAATCCCGGAGTCCTGAGGAACATCACTAACCCTGTCTCATTTATTCTCTGTGTGATCTCTTGGTTGTGGTGGTGGTGTTTGGGCACACTGAATGCATCGCGCTCTCTCTGCCCTTCCCTCACACCACACACGCCCTGTGAGTAAGTATCAAGCACTGGCTGTAGCCACTTGCCAGAGGCTGCTGCCGCCCCTGAGGCCCATAGCGCCATTTGCAATTTTTTGCTTTTTCTGCTCTGCTCTCGATGCTTTTGCGTCTTACTGATGTACGTTTTTTTTATTTTTTCAGTTTTCTGTTTTTGTTTCTTTTAATGACTTTTGCATGATAGTTCCTTGGGTGACAAGGAATGGAGATTCCTGTGCCATTCATACAGGATGTCATGTGATTTCAAAGCAATGGAATGTATTGTAAAAAAGTGTTACAATTTCTTCTTGAGTGATTCTCTCATTCACATCTTCCTCATCTGTCTTTCAGCTTACTCATCTTCAGTGTATGATTTTTTCAACACAGATTAAGTATCATAATATATTGACTAATTGCAAGGAGAACTAAATGAACTTTCTACACAATAGCACTGATACATTTGCAGTGATTATGATTATAATGATTGTGTATATTAATATATATATGGATGTGGACCTAAAAAACTTCTGCCAAAATTAATTTTTTGATATAGAACTTTTGATACTGATATGAATGGCAACATAGAAAATATATATTTTTTGATAATATATGACCTGCAATGATGACTAAATATAGTCATCTTCCATCTGCGTTATACCCCTTTGCCTTAACTGCTGTTGTTTTGAAACTGCTGTTACAAATGTATTGTGCTGCTCCTGCTGAAGTCCATGTGTGACTTTTAAATGTACTTTTCTCTTGCTGTCTAAGGAATAAGCTGCAGCACATTACTGCTGTTACAAAAATTGCTGTGCTATAATGAAATAATTTAGTCAGAGGTCCCATATATGTTTAGAAAGGAGTGTGTTTAGAGGAAAGGATTCCCCTGTGTAATTCAAACTGCTTTATGAATTTATTGTGATATGACTTTATACCTAATCCATTTAAAGATACCCTTACGATTCAGTGTATGTAAAATAGTTGCTGTTCTATGTGACACTTTATACTGTGTATTAGTTTTTATGTTATTAGTACCCTAGATGATTTACAAGATTTTTTAGTTCTCATTCATTCAGATATAGTCTTGGTACAGTAACCATTTGAAAATCACAATAACAAAGGATTGCTCGAAAATAAGTTACCTTGACAGTGGTAATGGCACCTGACACTCTACCATAGATCAGTGTGATTTAACTTGCATGTCACTTAGAAATGTTAACAACCTCAATGCCCTTGCACACGTACTGTGAATAGACAGCAGTACATGAGAGAGAGTGAGAGGTGCTCATGCCTGTAGAGAACAGCTGAATTTCTAAAAGATAGAATTATCACTAAGTATTTAAAATATTGACTTCTGTTTTACAGTGTGGATATATTGTACAAGTGGAAGGATAGTGTGATAACATAAACAGCTGACTTGAGCATTTATACAAAATAGTTACATTTCATTAAATACATTAGTCATGATTACCCTGCCTCCCGTGATGAACTACATGGGTTAATGCATTTGTTCTTTTTCTTCACAACAGAATAACTTTTCATTCTCTGAAAAGGAGGACTTTAGCGACCTGCCACCAAACCAACGCAAGAAGCGGATCCAGCAGCGTATCGATGATGTTACTTTCAAACTACACCAAGAGACGGCAGCGAGGTCAGTCATCAGCATCAAGTGTGAAAAATCCTGTGCTATCTGTCATATATTGTGTGTCAATCAGTTTTACATTGCGGCTTATCTGTAGTCTGCTGCTATTGAAAATTTATTGTCAGGTTTATGAGTATAAGTTCAGTAAATAGTGAAATACTCTGGTGAATGTTTAGTATTTGTCAAATTAATAGAAAATGACTAACATTATAAGAATTATATAGATTATAGTTATTAACATTTGTGCATATTCTGTTTCATAAGAAAAATACTTTCATAGAATACATTACTAGGTTATATGATAGAATTACATTTAAATGGTTATTTGAAATAGAAATGGAGCCAGAACAGGTGTAGGCTGCAATTAGTATTTCTCTTTGTTAATTATTTTAATTCTTCCATTATTATTTTTTATTTTTGTACATGTAACGTATTTGTAGATTTTCATAACAAAATGATAATGGACACAATGCTTGAAAATGATATTATGTTCGTACTGATTATCATTTATTGTTAGTTATCATTTTTACAGCACATAGCAACATTTTTACAAATTGATTAATGCATTTACCTGTTGTTTAGGGATGGGTTACTGAAGATGAAGGAAGTTTATGAGGGTAACCCTTCTCTGGGTGACCCCATGAGCATCATGGGACAGCTCAACGACTCCTGCCAGAGGATTGAGAAGCTGCGTGCTGACTTGAAGCGCTACCAGGACCTGTTGGAGGACGCGGATGGGGACCCCCAGGGCGTGGGTGGCGGCGCAGCATCGGGCGGACCCTCCACCCCCAATGCTTCCCTTGCGCGCCACCACAGCACTGTCATGTCGCCCCATCACAATGGGGGTGGTGCTTCCCCTCGCTCCTCCGTCA